CTGACAGGACCACCAGGCAAAAGGGCAAAAGGCCACACCAAGGAACTCATGCCACTGGGAGAGTCCCTTGGCAACAGCAGAGGAGGAGATGGCACCATTCAGGGTTAAACACAGCAGAAAGGGCCAGAGGTGTATGTGAGGAAACCTGCGACATTCCCAAGCAGCCGACTAGCAGACCTCAGTGTCTGCTCCTCTCGGATAAGGCAGCGCGGGGGGGACGGAGGTCGTGTGCTCTTCTGTAAGTGTAGAAACGTAGTGCCATCTCAACAGAGACCCCAACAAGCTTAATGCAAAAAGTGGCCGTGAGCAAGCATGGAACCCCAAGCTGCCACAACATGCGGTATTATTTCTTCAAGGATCACTATCATAAACTATTGCTATCATAAAGTATCACCATCATAAAATGCAAAGGAGTACTCCCGATGAGGCAATAAAAGAAATGGGGCAATTAGATTCAGTATATGATGAAAAATTTTCCTGTGTCACCAAAAACATTATTAGGACAACTGGAGAAATTATAATATGGATGCTGCGTTAGAAAGCAGCTTTGCATAAATGCTAATGTTCTGATCTTGTTCATCGTGCTGTGGTGACATAAAATGCCACCTTACTTTTGGGTAAAAGGGTATTGTATTTGAAAGTGACTTTGCAAAGCTTCAGGAGAAATATGTACGTACTGAGACGGCGAGGGGAGGGACAACTAGACAGATATAGTATCTGTCTATAATCTCTTCGCAGGCCTGCAGCTGGAGGACAAGGCCAATGTCAAATGCAAGTTGCCTTTGGAGTCCCGGGTGCAGGCAAGGTTCCCCTGCCTGCTCTTTGAAGACCTTTGTCCTTTGACTTACCATGTTGTCCAGAAAGCTCCCTGCAGTAGGTTTCACATGTGAAGCCAAGGCTGAGCTCACGTTCTGTGTGTGGTTCCTCCACTGAAAAGGACCCCCTTTCCCTCCACACATGTATCAGCGACATGCCTCAGGCCTGTTTCCTGTCCTTTGGTTGTCTTGGCAACAACCACACATTCCCTTAGACCCCAGGGTCGTTTTCTGGCTTCCTCGTGTAATTTACAGAATTGCCATCACCAACTACCATTACACAGGCCCACACTACTGATTTCAGGGGAATGTGGGGGAGCCTGCACCCCTCCACCCTCGAACGAGAGCTTGCAGGGTGGCCCAATATCTGCCACTGCTCCCCAAGGGAGGCAGTCCACTTGGGTGGATCGTGGACAGATGGCAGCTGGGAGGGTGGACAGGTTAGGAGCTTCCACTTGGCTTTTCCCTTTCCAGGTGTTACTTCCCAGCCCGCAGCTGCCAAGGGTAAGTCAACAGTATCACCACAAAGTCACCGAAGCCTTGATTACACAAAACCTCCCAATGGGAAGCTCTGAGTCTGGGCACAGCCTCCGTGTGTGCCTTCTGATGGTGGGGTGCCCGACTTAACCCTTCCCTGCCCTTCCCAGGAGCAGTCCGTGGCCACCCACAGGGGCTCACATCACGCTCCGTCAGTGCTGTTGGGGTCTCAAGGGCCAAGATCAGGGTGAAGGGTGGATGGCGGTGTCCCAGTGAGACCCTGTAGGGCAGGCAGCGTGGAAGGAGGAGCAGGCCATGAGGTGATGGAACAATCCCTGGGCACAACTGTCTCGGCCTTTCTCCCACCAGAGCCGTTTTCTGTTCTCTTAGAACTTATTCACAATGAGCCCGTGCCCAACCTGTGTCCTCTGAGAAACTCTGTCAAGTTTGGAATTTAAAATGCAGTGGCCACAACCTTCAGCGCTGACCGCTCCACCCATGTTTGGCTGGCTCAGCAGGTCCACTCGGAAGGGACGTCGTGTGGGCTGAACCTTTCTCTGGAAGACGCCCTAGGGAGCCCAGGGCAGATGAAGCAGAGTTTGTCTGCAGCTGTTCACTGAGCTGAGAGATCTGCTCAAACCTTTGGCCTGGATCGACGTGTGCATGTGAGGAGAGCAGGAGCCGGGTGCGAGGCAGGCTTCCTTTCCTACCCTTGTCTGTATTCAGATCACACTCCCGGTCGAGAGAGCTTGGCAAAAGGTCACAATTCGACTCGTTCTTGCCGGCCCCAGGGCCAGGGTACATTTCCCATCTTCTGACACCTGGGTCATCATCCTCATCCTACATCCCACCCACTGGAGCAGGCTCAGTGTCCTTTCCCAGTGAGGGCTCTCTGGGAATGACCACAGGCCTCAGGGCCAGGTCCACGTGTGCGCTGGATGCCACTGCATGCGCTCTTCTTCCAGTCTTTCCTGGACATCAGGTTCTGGGTCCGAGACTGGGTCGAGGTCAGGATTTTCCATTGTGGTTCCCACATCCCCACGGCTTGTTCCCAGAAGTCAGGCTTGTTGCCATTTCTCTCCCGGTTATCAGCCTGGAGCTGAGGGGCCTGGGAGAGCAGGCTGACTTGCTGCCCACTGGACACACCTGGCTTCCTGTGAGGACGTGTACCAGGGGCCATCTCATCCCTGTTGATGCTATGTCTTTCTGCACTACAGTACTACCCTGCTCTGTCAGCCTGGATAGACCAGAGGAACAAATTCATAGACACTCATAGGAAAGAGCTTTAAATAAAGAGTAATTATATATTAAGAAAACATCCCAGCCCAGGCCAGATCAAGTCCATAAATCTGATATTAGCCCATATGTCTAAGACTAGTCTAGAAATTCTTCTTCAGACTCACGCAGCCACGCAGTGATGCTGAATGCAGGAAGATGGCAGGCCAGCGGGTCTAAGGTCTTGCGGATCCAGTGGTGATGGACGCATCTCCGGCTAGTGTGGTCTCCACATGGCTCTTCCAGCTCCAAGGCCCTGGCTATCACCAGCTTCGCTCCATGTGGCCTGCCAAGAGGATTGTCTCGCAGGGAGGGAGTGTGTCTTGCGCTATTTATCCCCATAGTGCCTCTAAATGTGGGCATCCTGCTGCAACCTGCTTGACAGGCCAAACTCCACCCCTTTACTCTTAACAGTCTCAAACTGGCACCAGACTATGTAATTACCACACCTGCCCATCAACCCTGTCTCTCCCCACCCCTCCAGTATCTTCCACATTGCCTTATGAAGCAAGGGTCCTGTGGCCACTAGGGACATGGCAGGAGGTGGGTCCTTAGAAAGTGATGGATTCCACACACGGTCATCTCTGAGTCTGCTGTCCCTCCCCCAGTTTGCTGCCCAGGCAGGTCCATCAGCTGTGCTATATCCCTGGCCAGCCAGAGGTCAGCAACTGGATTCTGAGGGGCCAGACGGCAAAACCAGTAGGAGTCTGCACCCAAGGCCTCCTCCACGGCAATGCCGAGGGTTCAGACACAGGGCGAGTTCTGAGTCAGCAAAACCGGAGGTTGTTTGGCTCGGCGGGGCGACGCTGGACCCGAGGGTGAGTAGGAGGAGATGGGCATGTACGTCATGTGAGCAGGCATCTCTAAAAGGCCAGCACATTCCATGTGGATCGCCCTCCAAGGGATTCTCCAGGCCGGTCTTCCCGTTTCCCCACGACAATTCCAGTGGTGTTCAGGGGAGAAAGCGAACACCACCCTGTTGAGACGGTGAACTTGTTCTGCGTGAACTGACTCTTGAGCACAGCCCACATCTGCTGTCCGAGCGAACTGAGAGGGTTGCTGTGGGTGGTCTGGGACCTGGTGGAGTAATGGGTTATGAGCTGGCCTGTGAACCACAGGTCAGCAGTTGCAAACCTCGGGAGAAGATGAGGCAGTAAGAGGTGACCATCTGGGAAACCCACAGGGCAACCCTCCTCCTTCCTGTAGGGGAATCGACTCCACAGTGGTGGGGGCTTCCGGCTTTCCGTTTGTTGTGAGGCTGTGTTCACAGGTGCTGCTGGGGGCTACAGGCAAATTTCAGCCCCCAGCAGCACCAAGGCAGTGTGAAAATGCATCTCTAGACATTCGAACAGGTGGGAAGTTTTAGACCTGATGATGCATTCCTATCCACACATCAGAGATGTAAAAACACTGTCACTTTAAAAGTTGAAAAAAAATCAATATGCATTCCATGCTTAGCCTCAAGTGCAATTACTACATTCTCGATTTTCACTAATTTTCTCATCAGCACCAGGCAGTTCTCTTGTTGAGCAAATGCTTAGGGCCTGGTTACCTCCCTGGCGCTCTGTACTCCCAAGTGTGGCAGCACTGGGGCACGGCTTTTCACTTCTCAGCACGCAGCAGCAGCCGCAGCAAGGAGCTGCTAACAGCTCCGAGGCCCGCCCTGGTGGAGGTTGTATTACAGGGCTCCTCAGAGCCCTTAACATCCTAATAGTGCTCCCTGGAGCCCTCAGTCCCCTTGACATTCTAGTCTCCCGGGGGCTCCATCCTACGTCTGTCCCACCAAGGGACACTTCACAGGACCCTCTTTGGAAATCATTGTGGAAGAGATGTCCTTTTAACAACAGAGCTCTGAACTGGATGTAAGCAGGCTGAATTAAACGTTCTTTAACCTGATGGGACTATTGTATTGAGCAGGAATGATCTGCATGGTTTACAACAGATTAATCAGGGTGCAGTTATAACATGTCACAGGTGGATGATGGGTGGGGGGGTTTCACCACAAGGATCCGGCACTAGATGACAGGGACATTTATACAAGAGCAATATGTGCCGGTGGCCGTGGAGATTGGGTGACGGGTACATGGTGCTCACTAATGCTACTGTCACCATTTGTTTGTACCTTTGACGCAGTCCACAGTAAAATGCTGAGAACAAGAAATAGACCCAACAAAAAGAAAGAACGAAAGAGAAAGAGATGAAGGGAGGGAGGGAAGGGGAGGTAGGAGGAAAAGAAGGAAGGAAGGACATCAGAGAACAAGTCCTTGATGAAAACACTCAGGGTTCAGATGAACAGTGTCACACCCTGTCACCAAGTGTGCCTGTACCAGGCCAGACACACTGACATCCATCTCCCTCCTCACCGAGCCTGAGCAGACACACGTTCATGCTCACAAGACCCCGCCCTGCCGAGGGAAGCCATGGGAAATTCACCATTCATCCTGGTCAGCATCGCAGTTGCACAAGTACCGCGGGTCCAGGCAGTTCCCTGCTCGTCCACAAGCGCACGTCTGCACACCAGGCCGGGAGCCGCCCCAGTAGGTGTGGGTCTCATTGGTTCTCCCCACCCACCAGCTCAGTGGGGCACCACCTGAAAGACACACGTGAGAAATGTGAAGGCCACCACCCCGAGGAAGCCCCTCCTCTCCCAGCTGTTCCAGGGGTGCCCACAGAGAAGAGACACCCCGTCTGCATCGGAAACCTTCCACCCCAACATCGCAGCAGGCTGGATCTGAGAGTCTCACAGAGGGTGCCTTGGTTTGCCTGTGTTAACTTAGCACCGCTGACCCATAGTCCCCCACCGTGGGCTTCCGAGGCTGTCGCTGTTGGTGGGAGTAGAAAGCCCAGTCTTTCTCCCATGGAGCTGCTGGCGGTTTTGAACCTGCCGACCCGTGCACATCGCAGCCCAGCGTGTAACCACTACACCACCAGGGCTCCTTGATGTTACTTGATCACTCTTTCAATCATTGCTCTAACTTGTAATCTTAATGAAACAAATAGCAGGACTTAACGTCCTGACTTATAGTACCAAATAATTTTTGAGAAGCACAATTATATCATTTATTTAAGAATGACTTAAAAAATGAGTTACCATCAACTTTTTAAAAACCCAGCAACTGATATGCCGAAGCTCACATCGGAGTGGGATCATAAAATGCCAGCTTGAGACAAGCCCACAGCACGGTGGGAAGCCCTTGGTTTCTCTCTGGCACCCTCCTGGGGAAGTCGGTCTGCAGGACAGCCCAATGGCAGCAGGTCTTCTTCCTGCCAGGTACCCTCTGCTGGGATGCCGCCATCCCTGGGCCCCTTCCCAGGACCCTTGGGAGACCTGAACTTCAAGGTCCCTTAGGAACACCACTGTGTTTTCACCAAGTCAGATAAACAGCTGCTTCCAAGAGCAGTGTGGGGACATGCGGAGTATGGGGTGAAGGGGACCCTAAAATGATGGTACACTGGGATGGACATTCCATCAGTGGAGAAGATGGCCCGGGGAGGGCGGTAGGGAAGGTGCCAGGCAGACTAGCAAGTCAGCACCACCAGGCCCACAGGGAGAGTGGGCTGGGGGTGAGAGGCACAGAATCCTTGCTGCAGCCCAGAGCCCCTGAGCCTCTCAAAGAAGTGCAGGCCCTTCTTGCCACGACCCTGCTGCTCTGGGAAGGACCTGCTGGGCGTGAAGCACCAAAGATGAGTTTCAATCACAGTTGATGGCTTGCTGCTTCAAGACCAAAGGGACTTAAGACACTGAATAGACAGCTACCTTTGACAATAACACCTTAAAACGTCAATGACTTCAACATGCTTTGGAAAGCGAAGAGGAAGAAGCCATTCACTCCAAGTTGCCACGGTTTTTCTTGCCTTCCCAAGAAAACAGGGCTGAGCCCATGTCTTGGATGCTACCAAGGGCCCTTGGATTCTGGCGGTCAGTGTTCTGGAGGTTTGGGGAGACTGTAACAAGTGCTACAGGAAGCAGGAGAAGAAACGGTGTCTCTCTGGCTGTGAGCCCATCTGCAGCCCCACAGCCTGGCCCAGCCTGGCTTCCCTCTGCCACGGGGCTACGGGGTTCCAGCAAGGGGAGGGGCCCCAGCACAGCTCCCCTGGGACCTGGACGGCTCTCTGAGTCTGAAGTCCCATCTATGCTTGTCCAGCACATCTCCCTCGCCACCTTTCTTCCCCAGGACCCCAGCCCCTGCCCTTCACCTTCCAGAGTGCCCTCTCCTCTCTCCCTCCCTCCCTCTTTCCCCAGCCGCACCCTTTCCAGGGCACCTGAGGGAAGCACGCAGGGCCCACAGAGGTGAGGACACGGTGCAATGGACCCTGGCCAGTGGTGTCAGCACAGCAGCCTCCTTCACAGAGTCCCAAACCTTCACCCTGTCATCACAGCCATCCTGACCGGAACCAGGGGTTTCCCAGTCCCCCCAGACCTTGGTGGGCCTTTACCCCCTGCCCCCCAACCCCCAGTCTGCCGCCACCCCGACACCAGGCCTGTCCCAGACTCTAACAGGTCTTCCCAGAGCCTGGGCCTGTCCCCTCCCTGTTCCAGGCTCCGCCAGAGTCCCATGTCCTGAACTCACCTAGGCTCAGATGTTGTGTGTGAGTGGGGTGGGGTGGGGGAAGGAGCTGCAGAGGGCACATCCCAGGAGCATGCCCTGCCCCGACACAGAACCTGGCCTCCGGAGACCAGTCCGGCCCTGTGGACACACGGCCAGCTGGCACAGGGCCGGGAGCTGTGACTCCCTCATCCTATCACAGTGAGTGGGGGTGGGCAGGGCGCTCATTTGAAGCTCATGCAGAATGAGCGGCTCCACGGCACTGCAGGTGGCCTGCCTCCGCCATGGGGGGTCTGGCAGGGTGGGTGGGCGGCAGCCCTGGCTGTTGGTTTCCGGACTTGGTGCGGTGGGCTCTGCGCTGAGCAGGCAGGAGTCCTGCAGCAGCAGCGTCCACCCCTGTGAGGCTGCAACTCAAATGAGCCACCCCGAGACTCCCTGGGCAGCCCAGAGGTGGTGGTGGGCGGAGCCGAGTGCTGTGGGACCCAGTGGGGCGCGGAGAGAGAACACCCTCCTGAAACAGGACTGTGGGGGGGCTGGGGGAAGGCCGCCCGCAGGCAGGCCTCTGCTTGGCCTCTCCTGAAGCCACTAGCCCCCGAGGGGGACAATCCACTCTTGGGGACCTCCTCGCATATTCCCATGGGAGTCCCCACCCCTGGGGCCCCGCGCACCTGGCCCGTCCCGGAGCCGCGACCTCCTGCAGTGGTAGGCTAGCTCCTGCTGGCAGTGGGCAGCGCGGGACACCGTGGCCAGCAGCTGCGCCTCGCTGGCCGCGTACTGGAAAGCTGCGATGTGGGGCTGCCCCCGGCTGGCGCCCTGGAACCGAGTGAGCGAGGAGCTGTTGTGCTGTAGGACAGTCCACGGGGCGTCTGGGGAGAGGTCGAGAGGGAGAGACCACTTCAGGCCCGTTCCCCAGGCCCCCTGGGTGGAGCCTACATGGCTAGATGGGGTGGGGGGCGGCAGCAGATCTGAGCTGCTCAGTTTCTAAGGTGACCCTTTCACAGCTCTCAAACTGGGGAGTTATGAATAGTCAGGGCATTAGTCTCCCAAAACTTTGATAGAAATGAAGAGCTGGTGACCTGCATGTGTGACCTGGCAGGGGCAGGAGACACAGGGACAGCCCATCAGTTTGAGCCAAACCTGCTGGTCCCCTCAGAGGAACAGCCACAGTCCAGGCACCAAGTCCTTAGACCAAGGGCTCAGCAGTGGCAGCTTGTTCCTGTGGATTCCCCCAGGCTGCGGCCCTAGACTCGGCTAAAGCACCTTGCGCCCCACTATCCCCAGGCCCGGGACAGACGGGGCCAGGTAAAGTGCAGGGTCGACCTTGGGGGCCGAGTCCTGATTTGTAGGCACAGAAACACGCATGGGCATGGACATATTTGTCTGCTGGTGGGCACGTGACCTTGCACTTGAGGTAACTGAGAGTTCCATGGCTTGGTTTGAAGGAAGGGAAGGGGTATGTCAGGGCGGCATCACTGCACCATCTGCACGCTGCACAGGAACCCTGGAAGCTGGGCTCTGACGAAGCGGGTGGTGTCAGGAGGGGAGAAAGATTCATTAGCAACCTATGCTATTCAGATGGACAACTTTGCTTGCAGGAGGTGAAAAGGACTTGGATTACCGAGAAAGCCCAGAAGCTGTAGCTTTCAGTACAGATTACACCTCAATGTGAAGGAAATGAAAACCCTAAAAAAAGTGCACTAATGAGCCACACATGACAAAAGTCGAAGAGATCAACGTTACCACTTTCGTCTGCTCCACAACCAACGCCCATGAAAGCAGTGGCTACAAAATCAAACAGCACATTGCACCGGCACATCTGCTGCACTGGGCCTCTTTAAAGTGTTCAAAAGCAAAGCTGTCACTTTGAAGACTGAGGTGCGCTTCACGAAAGCTTTATTTTTAAGGCCTGCATATGTGTATGAGAGCTGCCCGTTGCTAAGGAAGACTGCTGGAGCCGGGCGCGAACACCGCATGTGCGGCGGGATGCCAGGAGACTGAGTGAGTGCGTCTGGGAGGAAGGACAGGCAGCTTCTCGGTGGAAGCAAGGAGGAGGAGACTGGTCTCATGGGCTGAGGACGTGTCCTCAGGAGGTGCCACGCTCTGTCGAGGGCCACCGTGGACACGAAGAGGGTCCGTGATCCAGAGAAAGACCCTGAACGCGATGGATCGACACAGGGACCACAGTGATGGATCCAGCCTGTTTGGTGAGGATGATGTCACACGGGGCAATGTTGGTCTCTTGCCCCTCAGGGAGCCGTGAGTCGGGCTGACTCACCAGCACCTGACAATAGGACCCACGTCACAGTGTGTCCGAGTCCAGCTGGCAGCCGAGTGAATGACGGTTTTGTGCTAGAGAAAAGTGAAAGCCAATACAGGATGGTAACTCACCCGTTATGTTGCAAAACACCAGGAAGGGCTCCAGGGGGCCGCTGCCATCAGGGTCCACGTGGAAGAGCCCTGACGAGTTGCCTCTGTGCTTGTAGGCCTCGCAGGACTGCTCGTAGAGGGCTGCAAAGAAGCATCTCCCGTGGAAGGGGGACCGTGTGGACGCCAAGCTCAGCATTTGGGTGGGAGACAAGGAGAAGCTGAGCCCCTTGTTCTGTTTGCCCACCCAGCAAAAGCGTGGCCACAGCTAACATATACAGTGCCACGCTAACATATAGCACATACAGTGATTCTCCACATGTGTGCATGGCATTAGACTTAACTTGGTAGAACAAACACGTTAGAAATATTTTCACATACTTTTCATCCTTCCAAGGGGAATACAACTGCCTCACCATGCGGGGCTTTGTGTCGCCCGAGTTGAGGATGGCTCAGGCACTTTCGCCGGGCTGGAAAAGGGCCCCTTGGCTGCTGAGCTGCTCAGGAGACAGGCCTCGGGTCGCCTTTCAACAGGTCTACTTCTACTGCCCCCGAAAATCCTGAGCTTCCACAAAGCTCAGCTCTTCTCCAACACGCACTGAGCCACCAAGAATCGAGGGTGACTGTGCAGAGCTGCCGGTTTTAATGTGTTGTCACTGGGTGACTCGTGCTAGGGAATGGGTGAACTCTCCATCCATTGCTGATATAGATGCAGAGCTGCCCATGTCTCTGGGTCCCGCCGCCCCCACCTGCTCCCCCAACCCCAAGCTAAAGTAGCAAAGCTGGGAGGCCATCACACCAAGGCTTTGATTTTGGGGTGATGATTCTGACACCCAAGGTCACCTGGAGACATTTTCAGCCATCATCACGGAGTGTGGTGGTAGTGCCACTGGAATCTAATGGGCTGGGGCTAGGGGTGCTGCTATAACTCTGCAGCCCCCAACCCCCTCCCCCCAGCAGTTACTGGGCTGCAAATGTTAGTGATGCTGAGTTTGACAAACGCTCATCAAAATGAAGAAAGAAGGAGAAGGTGCATTTCAGTACAGTCTCTGTTTCCTCAGCAAAAAAATGGGGATTTTAGTAGCACCTACGTTTTGGAGCTGCCTTGCGGACTGAATTAGGAAACACAGACAAGGCACTAAACCGTCTGTCTTGTAAAAAGTCCTTCACATGTAGGAATAGTGCTCAGCACCATCACCATTATCACGATGACAATCATCACCATCACTGCCTCAGCCATCACCATCCTCACCCCCATCACCATCCTCACCACCACCATCATCTTCACCACCACCACAGTCACCATAGTCACTGCCACTAACACCACCAATGCCACCCCATCATCCTCACCCCCATCACCATCCTCACCACCACCATCATCTTCACCACCACCACAGTCACCATCGTCACTGCCACTAACACCAGCAACGCCACCCCATCATCCTCACCACTATCACCATCCTCACCACCACCATCACAGTCACCACCATCACAGTCACCATCGTCACTGCCACTAGCACTACCAACGCCACCCCATCATCCTCACCACTGTCCCCATCCTCAGCATTACGCCCACTAACACTGCCCCCTCATCACCATCACCAGCATCATCTTCACAATCTCATCATCATCACTCTTAAGTACTACCAGGGTAGTAAGGGTCTTTTTTAGGAATGTGTTCCCATGGCATTTAGGCCACTCTGCCAAGGTTCCCCCGGAGACACTGTTCATTTTGGGAGCATTAATGACGACACACCTTGCGCTGCTGCCCGGAAGTGCAACCAAAACGACGGCCACTTCAAGAGCCCAAACAGGAGGTCGTAATCGGCAGCGTGCTTTTCTCTCTGATTGCATTTACTTTGCTTACACACGTTTCCCTTTTGTCTTTTCCCCTTTTCTGCCAGTTTGGATATTTTGGGAAGTGGCATAAGCTGGCACTTGGACGAATGTTGTTTGCCAGACCCTGGCTGTCATGCAGAGACCCGTGCACACACCCTAAGGGATCCCCAGCGGCCAGGACAGACTGACAGGGCAGGCTGTGGCATGGTGCTTACAGTGGTGGCACGTGGCGCCCGTGTAGCCGGTGCCGCTGCAGTTGCAGTAGAAGTTGTTCCAGGTCTGGGAGCACCGGCCGCCATGCTCACAGTAGTTGGGCAAACACCTGCAAGAAGAAGCAGAGGCGTCTCTGTCCCCTGGGGCCACACACACCCAATTCAATGTGGCTTTTGATGCTGTAAATTTGGCTCCTTCCCCCAGGAGGGAGCTCTTAGATAGCGCAAACAGTCATTGTGTTGTGCTATTAACCACAAGGTCAGCAGTTTGAGTCCACCCAGAGGCACCTTGAAAGAATGGTCTGCCAGCCCACTTTGCAAACACCCGTCATTACAAACCTTATGCAGTCAGACTTGTACCCAAAAGGGCCCAGCAGTCAGACCAGCCCACAGCCCTCTGGTACCAGCCCTGTGGACTTGGCAGTAATGGACATGCCACGCTCCAATGTCACCATGCATTTGTGACAGGGCACCTGTGGCTTCTCCGTCCCTTGTCCTGGGGAGCTGGTCCAGCCCTCCACATGTGCATAGAGTAGAATGGCATCTTACTGTGTTGGATTGCCCCACTCTTTATATTTCTAAAGGAAGAAATGCCGTTGAAGGGGACGATGGAAATTGGAAAGCATAGCAAGATGGCAGGGCAGACGGGGGCTCTTGCTACACAGCCCGCCTGGGCTGGGAATCGGGGCTCATATACCATCAGTGTAATTTTCCCATTTAGACTTTGAATTAAAGGCCATTTGGGACGAAAGCTTTATGCACCTGTGTTTCCCAAGAAACCCCAGTAAACCCACAACTCCCCATGCTTGACGGGGACTGTACCACCTGCTTAATCAAAACCCAGGAGGGGACACTTGAAAATCCAGTTTCAGGACGTCATTGAATTCCAATCGGCCAGGGTCCTACTGATTTCCTTTATTATAAAAAGTAAATATTCACTATGAAATAATCAAACTCTCCCAAAGAATACAAAAAAGTAAATCCCATCTGAAATCTGAGCATGTAAAACAACCACTGCAATGATGCTTGCACACATGCTCAGATGTAAGGGTAAGAGCTGCATTGTATGACACATGTACTCATATGTTAGGGTTCAGATCTGTCTGCATACTCATGTGTGAAGATATAACATGTGAATGATCTGGGATGCTGGATACCACCCTTAGCCATGAATTGATAATAAGGCATGTGCATTTTCATGGCAACAAATCTCTCTTTATGTTAACCCTTCCTATGAGTCATAGAAATCCATTAACACTGTTATAATTTATTTTAAATATTATGTATTGGAGTCTACTGGAAGCCTAGTGTGGTGAGAAGGGTTTGTAAAACATTAAAACCAGTGGCAGAAACAGTGACTGGTGATTCCTCAGAGACCCGGACGCACCTCGCTGCTCTCTTCAGCAGACAACCTGGAGAACACGTGTCACGTCTGAAGAGCTAAGTTACCGTGAGCAGAAGAGTGGAGGTGAAGCCTTCCACCTGGAACCGCCCTGTTCTGATGGAGCCACAGTTCCCAGCCCATACGCCTTCCACCCAAATGTTGTCATTTGCAACCCAGCATTTTACACAATCACCAGTCACATTTTTGTTTGGAACGATGAGAACTGGAACTGGGCTGCTTCCGGTGTAACTAAGCTGGGGGTGGGGAGAGAAATGACCCTGAGCCCCCCACCCCCACCCCCAGCTGTGTTCTTCCTGGTGAGCTGCCATCAGCATCTCAGGGGAAGGGATGTTCTGCCGAAAGCTGTTCTTACCTGTCCAGGATGCCACAGGTGTCTACCTGGAGGTCGCTGAAGTTCCCCAGGGACCCCAGCTGCACTGCAATCAGGTCCACCTCTTGGGTATTGATGGAGATGTCCCTCAGACAGCCCTGGAAGCCGCTGAGGGTCAGTGCACACGCAGGCCCAGAGCCCAATCGAGGGCACCCTGCTGGGTGGGAGAAGCAGACATCAGAGCAAGGTGGTGACCAGGACACCTTGCTGCAGGGCACATTGGTTCCCTCCGTTTATGGCTGCCTGAGATGTCCAGTCCCTGCCCCTGCCAGGAAGGCCTCCCTGCTCCTTTACGAAAGGAGGGATGGAGCTGGGCTAAGATGAAAGGCTCCGACGAAGTCTAGCCATGCTCCTTTCCTAAAGCACGAAGGGAAAAGAGCCCCTGCAGCATGGTCACCAGGCGTGGGAAAAGTGAAATGTGCATGGATTTAGCACTGGACAGACTCCAACATCAGTCAAGGACAGTTACCACCCGGATGCTTCCTCTTCTCAGGAAGCTGAGTTGGGGGCCAATTGCAGCACATCGTCCCATCTTGAGTCCCCATGGGGGACCCATCACAGCACATCGTTCCATTGTGAGCCCCCATGGGGGACCAATCACAGAACATAGTCCCATTATGAGCCCCTGTGGGGGGACCAATCAAAACACATTGCCCCATCACGAGCCCCCGTGGAGCACCCCAGCGTGCAGCCTTGCAGTGTCAGGTGCAGTTACCCCGAAACATGGACCGTGCTCTCGTCTCCAGGCAGGGCATGCTGCAGCTTGGATTGGTCTCTACCACCTCACCACCATTTAATATATTGGGCCTGTAAGAGTATTAACTCCACAAAATATTGAGCAACAATTAATTACCTGCTAGAAACAGTAGCTACTCTGTTAATTTCCTTTTCTCATTAAACATACTCCTCACTTGCCCAGAATAAACGATACTCGAGGCAGGCGCGAGCCAAGCGTGGAGTGCCATCAGGATGGACAGCAGAGCAGATGCACCGAGTGCACTGCCGCTGACAAGAAGAGCGGGTCGATCGCATGGAGGGCATCACAGCCGGAGTCACTGTGGAAGGTCGGATGTGCAGACTCGGAGGAAGCTCAGTCCTGCATTGCTGGAGTTTGTCCAGGAGGGCCAGCTCCTCTCAGGGCGGCAGGTGATTTGCTACTGGGCTCTTTGTACCAGGTCCACTGAGCAGGTGGCCAGTATGAGTGCCTGGAGCCCGAGTGTGAAATCAAAAGACTCCACTGGGGCTTGAGGGGCTCTGACATCAGGCACCCTTGAGAGGAGGGGATAAGTGCAGGGATGGGTGCTAGATGCAGGGCAGCCCCTCAGAGAACACGTCACGGAGGAGCCTGGTCTACAGGAAAGTGGAACACAAACAGCAATGGCCTGATGCCCCTGCAGTGGGTACAGAGCGCTTTGATCTGGACCACTTCTGTCGTAATGAGATTACTTGAGACCGAGAAATCACCCTCCCCACCCCGCCTCACCACCACTGTGGTTCTCAGCCCAAAGGACCAGCCCACCAAAGACCGCCTTTGGTGGAGGAGTTTTACAAAAATAGTTTCTTTACTCAGAGTGGTGCCTGGAAACTCTTCTCTGGGTCTGCACCAGAGAAAGAGGGAAGGAAAGGGAAGCAGATTGTGAAAGTCTCAAAATGAGGGACAGACTATCTATTGATCTATAGTCTGTCATGTGTCATCCACGTATCTATCTGTCATCTGTCACCCTATCTACCTCCCTCCTTCCCTCCCTATCTCAAATCCACTGCTGTCAAGTTCATCTGATCCACAATAACCCTGGAAGACAGAGTAGAACTGCTCTTTGGGGTTTCCAAGTCTGTAATCTTCATGGGAGCAGACAGCCTCATCTTTCTCTGGCAGAGATACTGATGGGTTTGAACTGCCAACCTTGCCGGTAGCAGTGCAGCACTTACCCCACAACTCTATCAGGGCTGTCTACTGCTTATGGGAAGCAATAGACAATTGATACAAGAAGAGAGAGAGGAAGGAGCAGAAAAATAAAACTTTAATGACTGAAAACTTCCTGAATTGCTTGAAAAACATGAATCTGTAGATGCAAGAACCTCAACAAACAGCACGTTGGATCATCATAGAGACCCCCAGCCGCACCCACTGCACAGCCGACAGTGAAAGACAAGGGCGGAAAGGGAGTCCTGGCGCAGTGAGGGAAACAACGCACTATTCTCTGGATGCGTCGGACAATCACAGCAGACGTTTTATCTGGACTAATGAAGGCCAGAAAGCAACGGAACCGTGTAGTCAAAGGGTCAAAATTAATTCTATGCTCAGGAAAACTACTTCTCAAAAGTGAAGGCGAAATAAAACATCCCAGAAAAGAAAAGAGTGAGAGACTGGGGTGCTAGCAAATATGCCTGAAAGAGATGAGGGGTCCTTTGGGACAAAAGGAAAGGAAGTCAAACAGTCGCCCAGTCCTCGCCAAGAACAGCCGGGAGATGGGGAAGACGGGCGGGCATGAAAGACGGCGTCTCATCCCTTTTCATTCTTCTCCTAACAAATCCAAATGGCATAAGGTTGCAGAACTCATACTTATTAGATATTTAATATCAAATATTACATTTCACATTTAAATAGCATTAAAATATTACATATTAATATTTAAACCCAGTAAAATTATAGTACAGAAACATAATGTAATAAATTATTATATATTCAGTAGCAAACATATTAGCCATTTAAATTTAATGTAAATATTACATATTAATATTTAAATATAATAAGATTATAACATAGAAACATGAAGTGTTTGTGCTGATAATATCCAAAAGAAAAAAGTGGAATGACTTGTAGCAGTTTTTTATCTTACCAGAATTAAATTATTATTAATATGAATTAGAGAGTAATAAATTAAAAATGTGAATTTTAATCTCTACAGCAGTCACTAAGGAAACAACATTTATAAAGCAATCACTCAATAAAAAGGCAAAAGAATCAAAAGCCTACAAAGGAAAAAGGGAACAGAAAATACTTTAGAAATATAGAAAACACAGCAAAATGGCATATGCAGTGTGGATAAATTTCAAAATTATTATGGTACATGAAAGGTCCTAGACACAAGAGACAACCCATTGAGTTATTCCAAGTATATGAAATGCTCAGACAAAAAAGAGGAAGTCACAAAGATTAATGACTGTCTAGGATTGGGGATGGGGTTAGGGTTTGATTTTGAATGAACGTGAGTTGCTTATTTGGGAGAAATGGAAATATTCTAAAAATGGATAGTGGTGTTGGGCACACAGCCTATCCATTTACTAAAAATTGTTGAATCACACTCTTTAGATAGACAGATTATACATCCATAAAGCTGCTTAAAAACAGCATCGTTCTTCATGTTTGCTAAGTCCCAGGATTCCGGTACCCATAATATAACTTTAAAAACTCATGACTTTATTTTTCCCATTGTGTCAAGCACATTTGTACATTTGCTGCCATCATCATTTTCAAAACATTTTCCTTCTACTTGAGCCCTTGGTATCAGCTTCTCATTTTTCCCCTCCCTCATCCATGCTGCCTCCCTCATAAACCCTTGATAGTTTATAATTTTTCATGTCTTACACTGACTGATGTTTCCCTTCACCCACTTTTCTGTTGTCTGTCCCCCTGGGAGGGGGTTATATGTAGATCATTGTGACCAGTTCCTCCTCTCCCCCCCATCTTCCCTTTACCCTCCTGGTATGGCTACTCTCAATATTGGTCCTGAGGGGTTTATCTGTTCTGGATTCCCTGTGTTTCCAGCTCTTATCTGTACCTGTGTACATGCTCTGATCTAGCTGGATTTATAAGGTAGAACTGGGGCCGTGAAAGTAGGGGGAGGAAGCATTAAAGAATTAGAGAGGAAAGGTGTATGTTTCGTCGGTGCTATACTGCACCCTGAGTGGCTCATCATATCCGGAGACCCTTCTGTAAGGGGATGTCCAATTGCCTGCAGATGGGCTTTGGGTCTCCACTCCGCACTCCAATAATATGATTTTTTTGTTGTTGTTCCGGGTGTTTGATGCCTGATACCTGATCCTATCGATACCTCATGATCATACAGGCTGGTATGCTTCTTACATGTGGACTTTGTTGCTTCTCAGTTATATGGCCGCTTGTTTATCTTCAAACACTCAAGACCCCAGTTGCTATATCTTTTGATAGCCGGGCACCATCAGCTTTCTTCACCACATTTCTTATGCACCCGCTTTGTCTTCAGTGATCGTGTCAGGAAGGTGAGCATCACGAAATGCTAAGTTATTAGAACAAAGTGTTCTTGCATTGAGGGAGTACTTGAGTAGAGGCCCAATGTCCGTCTGCTACCTTAATACTACACCTATAAATATATGCACATAGATCTATTTCCCTATTATCATATATAATATATTTACATATGTACATGCCTGTATTTAGACCTCTATGCGTGTCCTTTGCCTCCTAGCTCTTTCCTCTATTTCCTTTTATTTTCCTCTTGTCCCACTGTCATGTTCAGCCTCCATTTAGGTTTCAGTAATTCCTCCCGGTCACATTGTCCTTGATCAAGCCCTACCAGTCCTCCTATACCCTCCTCGCCATTGATTTTAGATCACTAGTTGCTTGCTTGACCCTGGGCTTGTTAACACCACTTCCTTTCCCCACCTCCCCTCTCCCACGTCCCCTGTGACTGTCGGTCTGGGTGTTTTCTCCTCGGGATTGATTATCCACCTACTTATCTAGATAGACCTGCAATCATGACTTTGCTAAAGACACTCCTGCCCCTTTGCTCACCACCAAAGTAATAGGTCTCTCCCGAATCAATTTCCACGGGAACCACAGCGTGGGCGGTAGAGGCCATGTCGTCATCCACTGTCAAAATCAGGTGATTCCTCTTGGCTACGAGAGAGACGGAGTGCCACTGTCCATCATTCAGCCCAGCACCTGAGGGACCAACACCAGGTAAAAGAGACACCATCACCCACAGGCCTGGTGAGGACGGGGCAACAGTGATATCAGCCATGCAGTGGATCCGTCAAGTGCAGAAACCGAGGAGGCTGTCCCCTCTGTGTGGAAGGAGGGTGTGGGCTCACCTCCATGTAGAGTGAACCCTGGAAGTGTGAACATCTAGAGCAGCAGTTGTCAACCTGGGGTCTCCACCAGTTTGGGGGTCGAATGAACCTTTCACAGGGGTCACCTGATTCATAACAGTAGCAAAATGACAGGAAGTAGCAGCGAAAATAATTTTATGGTTGGGGGGGGGCGTCACCACAACACAAGGAACTATATTAAAGGGTCGCGGCGAACCACTGACCTAGAGTCTCCCATCATCTGACTCGGGGCACCCTCCATCTCACATTCACGACACTCAGCTCTCAGGAGACTCAGAACAGTCATTGTCCCAAATCCCAGGGTAAATGACAACCGCCTCATGTTACTTCCTACGTTTTCATGAACCCTGCTTAGTAAAATATCTCCTTTCTACACTCTATCTAGGCAGATGCTTTAGATGTTTAGGAGGATATCGATAAAATGTAAAATTCACAAGAGATGGTGTGTGTGTGTGTGTGTGTGTGTACAGGCAGGCCCGGTGTCTCATGTAAACAGTAACATCCATTTTACTTCACTGTCACGTTGTGCTTTGTTTTCCAAACTTCCACAAAGGACTTGAGCTGTTGCGTAATCAGGAGACAACCTCTCTCCTGGGTCGTAAAGGTCAGACGGTCCCTCTAGGGAGGCACAGGTGGGTCTCAAGGATCCCAGTGAAGCACTACCTTGCTCCTGCCCCAGAAGGAGAGAGCGGAAGCTGCTGGAGGACAGCAGTAGACGTGCTAGTGAGGCTCCACGTCAGGGGAACATCAACCTGGTGTCACTCTGCAGATACAGCTGCTCCTGGCTGTCCTCGGTGGCCCAGCAGACCAGATTTGGGGACACACTTTCCCAGAACTAGGTCCAGACAAGGTGGGGCAAACCCTGGGCCATGAGAACAGGCTCAGAGCAGCACAAGCTCAGCCTGTGGCTTCGGTCTTACTACTGAAGAAAGAGGGTTTTCAAAGACTCCCTGTTCTGGGGTCTGAGGTAACAGGGGAGAGAGCCACAGAGCAGGGTGGGGCTCTGTTCTACCAGCAGCCCTGGTGTTGCTATAGGGAGCCTTGAGCCCTGGGTGGCACGGAGATGGGTGGGAGTTCTCCCACGGCCCCCCCAGCTGTTCCCATCCTGCTTGCCCCTGAGGAAATCCGTGGCCTCCGCTCTTCTCTCCAGCAAGCACCTGCCCTCCTTCCAGCCCGCGTTTGCCTCCTGGCTGGATCTGCACCCCATGGCCTCTGGATGTGCAGACTCACCTGAGGTGTGAAAAGCAGAGTCTGGTGGGAACTGAGAAGCTCGCTTTCCAACAGGCTCCCGGGGGGGAGCTGGACATGAAGTGTCTGTCGGGAGGGACGCTGAATAAAAGTCCCAGCAGAGTACCCAAGGACGCCCCTGTGACTTGACAGATTATCTTGGTGGCAGGGGCAGGAGAGGTGGTGATGGCCCCCCTGGGGGGCATGGTCCTACGGGTATCTGGTCCAGGGGACCACAGGGAGCATATTTCAGAGGGCAAAGATCCTGCCTCTGGCTGTCGTCACTTCTGGGCAGGAGCCTGTCCATAGTCCTGGTCCTCCCCAGGTGAAGGGACCTCATGCAAATGCCTGCACGGAGGGGCAGGGACTACCACAGCTGACCAGGGCTAACTCTGCCAGGCCTCGCCCCAGCTACATAAAGGGAGCAGGTGTCCCCAGAGCTCTCGGGTCCCCGACTTCCCCATGAAGAGCTCGACTAGTCTGTTAGTCTTCCTGATTTCTAAATGTTGGCTGGTGTTTGAAAAGGAAACTGTCCCTGAGCCCATCCATATCAAAGACAGCCGAGGGGCAGGGTACGGGCCCTGGGCCCCTGCAAACCAGCATGGGAGTCACCAGAAGAAGCATTTGGCTAACCTGTGCAGTGGGTTGTAAGTGCGTTGGTCTCTGGTGTGATCTTCACAAGGGAGGCAAAGAGAGATGAAATTGCATGCGGCATCAAGCATGGTCTTGGTATGCAGACTGGCTAGAATAATACTTTAAACCAGCGGTTCTCAACCTTCCTGATGCTGCGACCCTGTAATACAGTTCCTTATGTTGTGGTGACCCCCAACAAGAAAATTATTTTTGTTGCTACTTCATAACTGTAATTTTGTTACTGTCATGTATTGGGTGACTCCTGTGAAAGGGCCATTTTGACTCCCAAAGGGGTCGCGACTCACAGGTTGAGAACCGCTGCTTTAAACACTTTAAAATGCCAGTTTGCCCTGTTTTACGTTGTTATAAACTCTGTCTGTGCATTAAAGCATTTATGTACATTTTAACCCAATTCAGTTCCATGTTTAAGGCATTTTAACTTTCATTCCAAGTAAACATAATAATGCACAGAAAATTACTACTTTAGATCTCTAATAGCCAAGAAAAGTAATAAGCCACTTTTTTTTTTTTTCTGTAAGAGAGAGTTTTATATAAAGGGTAAGTGCATATCAAGAAGACATTCCAACCCAAGCCAACAAGTCCAATACTAGCCCCTATGTCTGACACCAATCCACAAAGTCCTCCTCCATCTCACAAAACACACACAATGACGCCAACTGCAGGAGGAAAGCAGAGTCAGTGAATGTGTAAGCATCTCAACACTGGCAGGGGTCTCCACAGGGCTGCTCCAGCACCCACAGCTGCATCAGGGTAGGTCCATGCTGTGTCTCCTCAGGGATGTCTTGCAAGCTGAAGCAGGGAACTGCTAAGGCAGCTGCACCCTGGTTTGACCATCACAAAACAAGAGACACAAGAACTAGAAAGACGAGGCTCACCAAGCCGCTTATCCCTCCACCCTTCAGTTAACCTCACATGTGTTTATTTGCCAGGTTGGCACACTACTTCAAGGTCTTTCGCAACTGCTTTTCTTTTTTTTTTTTTTTTTGAGGATGGTGCAGAACCAGGCGATAGGTTCTTTTATTCTGTCGGGTCACCCTGTCAAAGCTACTCACAGACAACCAATGGGAACAGCTCTGAAGCCACTCTTATTTAGTGGAAGAATGTAGTTTATTAGGACAACAATCCATAAGGAAACCAGATACTCTGCTGTGTGGTTCAGGGAGTCCCTGGCTCACAACAGGATCAGCCCCTAAAGACGTCTCTAAGTGGAGTTTGTAAGTCCAGTCCACCCAGAGGCACGCTGAAGAAAGGCCTGCCATCTCCTGCAGCATCAGCCACGCAGATGCTGCAGGGTACATGGGTGGCCTGCACACACATGGGCACCTCGCGTGGGGGGTAGACCCAACCCACGGCAACCGGCTTATTGGTGCCAGACACTTGAGTTCACAGCGGCTGCGTGTTGCTACGTGATAATCACACCCAAGCTGGCAGTTTTAAACATGCCTATCACATGTCCTTGCTGTCAGTATCTCCTGCTAGGCACCAGGTTGGTACAACATGCATATAAATGGCATGGAATAAATGAGTATAAACGGCACAACACGAGCACAAGAAAGAGCACAACGTGGTACAACATTCATGTAAAAGGAAGTTCACGTACTGGGACTCACCTAGAAAAGTAGGGACACTGAGGGTGCTGTTGTCTTAAGGTTGGCTGTGAGCTTCTCTGAGACCTGAGGTGGTGCTGACATGTTTTCTGCGGACACTCAGGTGGTTGAGCTGGAGGGTGGGGGGGCTGGGGGGAGGGGTCTCTGGGACCTGGGATGATGGAGTCACAGGGGGGTTTGTGGGGCCTGAGATGACTGGTCTGTGTGTCTGTTAGTCTTCCTGATTTCTAAATGTTGGCTGGTGTTTGAAAAGGAAACTGTCCCTGAGCCCATCCATATCAAAGACAGCCGAGGGGCAGGGTACGGGCCCTGGGCCCCTGCAAACCAGCATGGGAGTCACCAGAAGAAGCATTTGGCTAACCTGTGCAGTGGGTTGTAAGTGCGTTGGTCTCTGGTGTGATCTTCACAAGGGAGGCAAAGAGAGATGAAATTGCATGCGGCATCAAGCATGGTCTTGGTATGCAGACTGGCTAGAATAATACTTTAAACCAGCGGTTCTCAACCTTCCTGATGCTGCGACCCTGTAATACAGTTCCTTATGTTGTGGTGACCCCCAACAAGAAAATTATTTTTGTTGCTACTTCATAACTGTAATTTTGTTACTGTCATGTATTGGGTGACTCCTGTGAAAGGGCCATTTTGACTCCCAAAGGGGTCGCGACTCACAGGTTGAGAACCGCTGCTTTAAACACTTTAAAATGCCAGTTTGCCCTGTTTTACGTTGTTATAAACTCTGTCTGTGCATTAAAGCATTTATGTACATTTTAACCCAATTCAGTTCCATGTTTAAGGCATTTTAACTTTCATTCCAAGTAAACATAATAATGCACAGAAAATTACTACTTTAGATCTCTAATAGCCAAGAAAAGTAATAAGCCACTTTTTTTTTT